TTTGTTTCTACCTCGAAGACGCAGGTAGAAAAATCCCATAAATTGGAGGTTTAGGTTGTAGGGTAAAATAGGATTAGGGTTGTTGGAGGGAGGCAGGGAGATCCCATGTGGGACCAATCACCCCTAGCTTGCAGCCTAGGGCCAATCCACCAGGTGGGGCTATGTGGGATCCATAGGCGCCTCCGTGTCCCAATTTTTGCCCTGACTCTTGTCTCGTGAGATTATTTTTATAAGCTCTTGGAAAATAATTTCTTCATTGCTCTTCTTTTTGGTCCCTTTCTGATGTTTTCTGGCAATTCCCCTTCCTCATTTGAAGCATGTAAATTAAGAGAAAAATACATAAGAATGGTACGAAAATGTGCAAAATATGGATAATTATAAGTAGTTCATAATAAGAAATAGTGATGCAAAATGAAAGAACCCTAAGATGTGTGTCCTCCACAACACGCTTCATGTACAGTGATGCTTAAAGCCTACCTTGGTTGTTCCCATGGTCACACTTCCTCTAGTAGATGGCGCAACCACCAGGTGTGATTTGTTGTGGTGGTTTAATTACTAACATTGCTCTTTTTTTTGAACCACAACTTGAGTGGTATGAGGGATATTAGTTTGTGACAAGAACCATTGGAGGGACAAGTGAGTTCTTCATTTGTTTTGTAGTGTGCTTGACTCAGATTAGGGGTATTATCTCTACCTACTAATACCTTGATTCTCATGAAAGGGGAAAGTTATCACTTGGCGCAAACTCTTGCACTTTGGGGCCACAACATGGATTATATGAGACTGGTGGAAACAAGACTGGTGGTACATGTGAAGGGTATGATGGTAAAAGTTTGGTCCACTGGTCCATGGTCGACTAGTCAAAGGTGGAGGGTACATAGTCTGTAGTGAGCCAAGAAATCCTATTTGATGCTTATTGCGTCAAATTGTCAACCACGAAGCAATAGCGACTTGGATTAAGCCAACTAGAAAGGGGGCATTACATACAGTCGAGCGGTTTTCTTCTATTTCTCATGCATGATTTTTCTTGGGTTTTCTCTTTTGTGTGTCTCTTTCATCACTTTTCTACGGATTTATTCTCATACATTTTGTTCATTTTTCTTTCTTTTTATCGTTTTCTAAATTTGAAAACATATTTTAACTTTGGGAAGATTTTTAATTCATGAACATTTCAACATAAGGCGGGCATCTTACATTTCCCTTTTTTTCAAAATTTTGTGAACAATCTTTAACTTTTGGGGAACATTTTTAAATTTATGCACATTTTTTTAACTTCATGGACATTTTTCTAAACTCCTAGTCACTTTTTAATCATGAAATATATTTTAACTATCGGAACAAACCTATATAGTTTTTTTCCGAGATTTTTTTTCTTGAAAAACAAAAGAACAAAGACCAAGACGAATTAAAAGTAAATCTTTGTCAATGGAGCACCCAAAGGAACATTCAGTAGGTCCGTACAGGACCAAGCGCTACATGCCTTAAGTCCATTCCCTCTCATCCCTCTCCCATGATGGCCCTTCTAGTGTTGGGATCATTTTATTTTTCCATCCTTGTTGATATTTTCTTTTTTATTTGAATTTAGTTATTTGCCTTGGGCTTGGGTTGATTGCCTTAGACCTGGGTTGAACACATTGGACTTCATTGACTTGCCAGGTAGAAACCTATGTGTTGGGAATTTGATATAACGCGAGATCATTGTTACCCAAACTTGTGGATGACGTAATTGTTTGATGATTAATAAAATAAGTCATGATGGTATTTCATTAAACTATTATAACAACTGATAGTTCATCTAGGGGAGGTTGCAACTAAGGTGGTAGTTTGGTTAAAACTGCTATGGTTAAATGGTAATCGCCGCCTAAAGTTTACTACTATAAACTTGGCCGTGCACTGGTGAACAACAGGAACTTTACTAGCGCCAAAGAGTTTGTCTGGGGTGATTAACTAAGGAAGGACTATGATCCTCGAGGTTTTGGAGCATAATGGAGCAAAAACTAATATAGTTGCTTTGTAACTCACACTATGGGTCCAGAATCAAGATCAAGATGGTTCACTCACATAGAGTAACCACTTGAGATAAAATTTGGCAGGGCTTGGTGATTTGGCCAGATAAAGGTGCTGTAAAAATTTCATACCAATTGGTTGTACCAAAATGGTACTTGCTTCACAAACATCTTCACTGAACAGAAACTTGCAAAATTTCTATAGAAATATTGGCTAAGTGAACTGGTGCCACATTTCATGGAGAGAAGTTATTTGGGTAGGAGAACAGCCTGGTAATTTATCACTATTTTTGAAGCAATATAAATGTCACTTGCTTCACAACCCGAAAATTTTACCAGAAGTAAAGATTTGGTCATGTGCTCACATAGATGATTGGGTGGGGCTGAAATTTGTAGGACTGAGATAATATGAGCACAAGAAGAGGCATGCAAAATTTCAACTCATTTGAATAACTCTAGCTAGCACTTCCTTCACAAAGGCTTCCCTTAGACATGAACTTTGAAAAATCAATGAGGAAGCTTGGCTAGGAAAATAAAGTTAAATTTTGGCACAGGTCAATTATTTGGATGATATATCATGCCCAAAAAGTTTGGGGGCAAATGGTCAAA